CTTCCTTAGGATGTGTTTGTTTATAATTATAAATTTAAAAATATGTACAATATATAAACAGAAAGACCTTCCTTAGGATGTGTTTGTTTATAATTATAAATTAAAAAATCGATTATTAGTTTTTTACAAAGTCTAATCGAAATGAAGACTAAAAAAACACACCTTTAAATGATTATGTATTTAAGTGTTAACTAAAACATTTTTAAATTAGAATTTGATATTTAACCTGTTGTTTATCAAACAAAATAGTTTCAATGAAGCCTTTGAAATGAGTTAACATTTATAATTTATTGAAACATTATATTACTATCCACATTCAACTTTGTTTGTATAAATGATTTATTTAACAATTGTACGAACGACGGCTTAGTAATTTCGGTTATTATGTGGATACCAGCTTTTAGTAAATGTTATGATTTACAGTTGATAATATTTTTAGATTCATTAAACTTCTTAAAACAAGAAAGTATTTACATATTTTTTTTCTGTTAAAATAATCGTTCATTTTATAATTCAGTAAGATCGAGGAAGCTGTTCAAGCCATTACAGATAAAGACGAAATTTCAGGAAGAGGGTTTTCCATTTTTGGTGGCCATCCTGCGTTCAAGGAATGTGGCAAATACGAATGTCGAACTGTGACGTAAGCAAACTTTTCAGATCAATACATATATGCCAGTCAGATGAAAATATTACGCTTCTTATTAATTTGTATATATATATATAATAGGTGATATTTTGAATATTTAACTGTCTTTATATGTGATTGACTTCATACTATTTTAAAAGGCGATTTATACTTCCTTGGCACATCTTCGGAGAATAATTTCAGTTTGGATTTGAGGTTTATCACATGAGAATATTTCAGTTTTGATTTAAGGCTTATAACATGAGAATATTTTAGTTTTGATTTAAGGCTTGTAATATGAGAATATTTCAGTTTTGATTTAAGGCTTATAACATGAGAATATTTCAGTTTTGATTTAAGGCTTATAACATGAGAATAATTTAAACGTAATTCAAATTATTGAACTTTTTCTTGTGGAAATAAATGTGTTTTATGTAATATTTTTGCGATCTTGAAGAACTAACGTAATCATCTGCCTGGGAAATGAGTTCAGAGTGGAGTCTAACTTTGTTGATACCATATAACACAGTAAAGAAAATAGTTTGAAACAAGAACTTTCTTAAAACTTTGCCTAGGTCAAGTGAATAAACTAACCTAACAGATGGGAAATAAGAAAGAAAAGAATTTGATTTCTGGACTACTGATGACAAGATTTCATTGCAAGACCTAATTATTTAGTACTAATTGCAAGTATTTATTGTGAAATATTCATTTTCATTTCAAATTTCTTTAATTTAGATCTGAAGATAGCCGTTGCTATAACTTTTTCCCGTAAGTATACTATTCTTACAATTTTAAATAATAAGTTGTTGTTTTTGTAACACTTAACAAAGCATTCATTTGTTCCTATGTAATTAAGTGTTTTTGATTTCTATGTTAAGAGCTAAGATACTTAAAGTTAAAGAGGGCGATAATCAGGATATTTTGCTTTCTACCATTATCATTAATAGTCTTGTTTTATATTTTATGTCTAACAGTGCTAAGTAGCCAAACGAAAAGAAGATATATGTTATAATAAGTTGGGGTTTATAAGTATAATGATATAATTTATTTTACTATATCTCTTTCTTCAATGTTCTGTAGAAACATGTAGTATGTTCCCCCAAAATAAATCACTTCATTATACTTATAAATCTTTGTTTCCTATCTTATTATTATATTTCTTCATTTTTTTATAATGATGTTTTAAATTCAATGTTTTCCCTTTTTTTATTATAGAGTTTTAGACAGTGACAACAAATGTTTTACTGATTAAATTATAGAAGTACCCAGCAGAATTACGTAGCAAAAATTACAAAGTTAACAATCAGTTCACTATTTAGAAAAATTGGGATTACGTTTTTTATTATTATTCACATTTAAGGACCCATTACAATAAAAATAAAAATCAGAGTAGAATTTTTTTCTTGTCTTGTTTGTAGTTTATACTTGCAAAATTCATTGTTACAAATTTCAAATATATATTGTTGCGTCATCG